TTTACCCATATTTTCTAATTGCAAATATATGTTTAACATTAGCCAAATTTAAAAGAATTTTTTTGGTTTAAAAAATAAGTCACTTTATGAGGTATTTGTTAAATTAATTGTTATATATATATATATATATATATACACACATATGCCCTTGGTCTGGAATTATGGTAATTAAGATTGTGTTGGAAATTAATGTAATCAACAAGAGTACGTAATAGTGAAAAGTACTAATTTTTTTTATAAATTTAATGATTGATCTAACAATTTTTTAACTTCCTTTTTAAAGACGTACAAAAGTAGTTAAAGGTAATCAGTATCAGGAGAGAGAGTATATTTGTTGACTACCAATTCCAATGCTTATCTGGAAAGTATATTTTCAGTACATTTCTAATAACACTGCTACAATTGAGCATTGATTTCTTAAAGCATATAATGTGTGTGTCTAATAGGTGTCTTAGTAAAATTTGGTAAGGGGTTAGAGTCATGCTAAGAGATGATTTAATTTGCTGGTTGACGTGGTTAAGTACCAAAAAAAATTACATCATGACCTTTAACATATACTACAGTGTTAATATCTCATCCCAATAATTAGAAATTAAAACCAAGATCTCAGGTTCTATTTTTTGAAAAGCCACTTTGGAAAGAACAAATACGTGGGGACAGTATTAGTTCGACATCATATCTCCACAAGATTTGGCAGGAGATTAAACTTAAATTGAAACGTATTGGCTATACTAATTAATGCTTCATTCATGCAAAACAAAAAAAGAAAATAAAAAAGATTCTGATGCCAAAACAAATAGCTTTTGACCAAGTAGTTCGTGAGCAATACGTCACATATTCGCCGGTGTAGTTTTATTTCAACAATGTAATGAGTGCTGAATACGTTTGGGTAGTACTGTTTGAATTTGAAGATTTGGGTTTAAAATTTAGATGTCATATTTCACATTTTAAATTTATATATTTTAAATTTTTTATTTAAATATTTAAATAACTTTAAATTTTAATATTAAAATTTTTGTTTATATTGTACAAAATTTTAAATAATCATAATTAAATTCTATTTTTATTTGTTCTTACTTATAGAAAATTATATTTTTATTGTTTTATGTTTAATTTATCAACCAAAATTGACCCTCCATCCATATTATATTCTAATTATTTTTTTCTATAAAATTTGATTAATAGATAAAAACTAAACTTTAATTCAAAAATTTAATCATTCAACAATAAAACAAAATATTAAAAACTTTATTAAAATATTCAAGTGCCAAAATAAAATATTCTCAATACCAAGTAAAGCAAAATGTAGAAAAGCTTGTATGGAAAAAACAAAAAAAAAAAACAGAAGAACTCTTTGACTACAAATCAGTTTTAATAAAAGAAAAACTTGTATACAATATTCATATTATCATAATGTGAGTTTAAACTTTTAACTATTCTATCTAGTCTAAAATATACTCCGTGTGATTTTAAATATAGGAAAAAATATCAATTCAACAATTTAAAAATTTTGATTAATTAAGTATTTTAATTATGTTTGAAATTAAAAAAATTGGACTAAATTATCCTATAATTAAGGAAACGATTTTATTTAGTAAGAATTATATTAATTTTATGAGGGACAATTTAAAAACCTATAATAAATACTTCTTAAAATTTATAATTTTTCTTATAAATAAAAAAGATACACATAGTAATTTCTTTTATATTAAAAAATTGGGTAATATGACATTTGTTATCAACTATATTGGTCTAAAAATTAAGATGCTTTGTAAAAAGTCTAATGCATTGATTTTTTTTCCACAAATGTCATTATTAATTATATTGCAAGGAGATATTATATAAAAAATAAAGATAATTAAGATAGATAATTTTAATTGAAGGGTTAATCTTGAAAAAAAATGATATTTTTTACTTATTTAATTATTCAAATTACAAATCATTTTTAACGATTTTTCTTAATACCTATGAAGATAGTTAAAACTATCCCATATTTTAGACAAAAAGAAGTAATTATTCAAAAGAAGGAAAACAAAAATTGGCAAAAAAAAAAAATTCTTCTTCATTAATCCAAAAGTTCTGTCAATGACATTTCTTATGTGTCGAATATTAAATAACTTTTTATAATTTGTTAGTGTGTTTTCTTTCTATAAAGTAAAATGATACCTTGTTCCTTGATATGGTACTAAAAAGCTTGAACCATTTGCATACCCAGCATCTACTAAATAATACATATCTACAAGAGTATTTGAAATAATTAGTTTGTATTTTGGACACAAATTTCTCAATCTTAAAGTGATTATCTAAGATTAGTGAAATTTTACTAGTTGAAATCTTTAAACCATGATGCCTAGGAAGAGCATCACCTAAAATTTGAGAATCAGATTCGAATTCCTCCCAACCACGTAGCACATACCAAAATATCATCTTACAATCACAAATTGTAAGAACATTAGTGCTTCGCTCACTTTTCATGTTATTTTTCATTTTTTTATTTCTTAGTATCTTGATTATTTTATTAATATTAATATCTTGATTATTATTTGTCCAAAAAAAATATCTTGACTATTAATATTAAACGATACACGAGGTTTTTTTAATTCTAACTTTAATTTCTACAAAATCATCTTTTTAAATTTAATTATTGATTTTTTAAGGGATTATATTTTTAGAATGCACTTACACATATTTCTAATATCCATTATATGAGGTTTAAGAAATAAATTATTAGGTTATTATTCAACAGTTTAATTTGTTAGAGAATATATCACATTTATTGTACACGGGGAAAAACGCAACGAAGAGAAGCTATTCCTTCACCAAAGTGGAACCATTTTTTGTACATGACTACCTAAATGAATTAATTTCAAGTATTGTCATGTCTATTTTAAAGTACTTATTTAAAATAATATTTTCTATATTTAGAAAAATTTAAGTCTCATATGCAACTTTTTATATAAAAAAATATTAAGTGAGTTGAGTTTTAAAAATTTGTTAAAATCAGGACATGCCTTTAAAATTAAAAAATGCTTATTGAAATATTTATAGATCACGTATTAATAAATTTTTCATATTAATAACAGTATTTAATTTCACAATCTTGCAAATTATGAGTGAAATTTTTATTAATTAGATCGGCCAACTTTTGTGTGGAAGCCTAGGATCTCAGCAAAAGGCATTGTGGGGAACCACTTCAATTCACAAGCGATTGGTTATAGCGGTATGCCATGTCGAACAAGAAACTATCTGTCAGGCCCTAACTTAAAGTGGGCCTGATCCCAAAAGGAAAATATGTAACCAGCTCTAACAATTGCTAGGCCTTTTGAGTTTTTTGATCGAATAATTTTCTGGGCCTTTGATCAGTGACTTGTAGTTTCAAGTGTGAATGTTTGACCATCCCATTCATGGTGAATGGGATCAAAGTTATCAAAACTCAACATTGGGTTCGCTTAGTGCAATCTTTAATTTTGGGGAAAATACAATTAAATATTTAATTCCCCTATAGATTCGAAAGTTTGTGTCAAAATGAAAGGAAAATTGCCGTTTGAAGAGCTTTATAACTTTTAAATACCAGTTGATATTGAGTGTGTGTGTGTGAAACATAATTTGATCTATATTGCACCGATTAATGTAACACCAGACTCATTTTTGTTTGGTGTTATCAATTATTACTTGCTTGTATTTTTTTATTATTTATAAGTATTTTTCTATTAAAAGTAATCTTATTTGAGGTATAATTGAGTATTAAATACTGGCACTTTTCCCAAAATATATTTAAACATTAACTTGTCATATTGTAAAGAACTAATTTCTTTCATTAACTCAACTCTCATTAGTTGTTTGTATTATTAATTGCTTCACATTTTCGGGTTGAGTTCAATTTAAGAGGATTTTGTCTGTTTTTTTAAGAAAAAAGAGCATACACTGAGAAACCAGTTAAACCCAACCTCGTGCCTAAGCCCCACCCTTCTATATTCTTAGATATAAAAGATATGGTCGCCAGGAGAGAGATAACATGTAAAGATAACATTTAATATTACTACTTCTAATCATAGTTATACTGTCCGGGATTCAGGGTGGCAAACTTACTTTTTTTTTTTTCGTTTTATAAGATTTTTTATAAAATTTAAAAATACAAATGAAGTCAATTACATATAATTTAAAATTTTAATTGATCTAAAAGAAATATAAACTTTTTAAAATATCATTCATTTAAGAAGGGAGGTGAAAAAAAAAGATATTTAAAAAGTAAAATGAAGAGAAGTAATTTTAGAACTGTCTTTATTATAGATAATAATAATTATTATTATTTTAAAATATACTATTATATTATGCAACATCACATCACTCCAAAAACACATACTTGTTTGCTGATTATTCACATCCATCACAATTAGACTCTTCTCAATAGCAAGCTTGGTTGACCAAAATCTCAGGATGAGAATCTGCGGTATATTTTCTAACCTAATCTTCCCTCCTCCCAACCATCTGCCCTTCTCGACGTTGAACCATTTCCTACACCAAAGCTAGCCCCAATTTTTGACCTTTTTCAACATACTACTGTTTTATTGTTGAATTTCCGCTATTTCTATCTTTATACTATTGTTTAACTCCATTATCCCAAGTATAAATTTAATTCATTAATTTTTTGTCACACCTAGCAATAAAGGATTTAATTCACACACATAAATAGTATTTTAAGTAAAATGTCCGCAAAAATAAAGAACGCAATATAATCATCAATTGTCACTATATGTAATAATATTCATAATAAGTTATCCTTATCACTTATGAATGGTAAGTAAAAAGACTCGAATTTGAAGAAAAACATCTAATCTAATCACCTTATAGGTCGTGTATACAAGTTTGTCTTTATCATAGAATTGCCACGGGCCACAGCTATCGCGTCAGCAATCAGCCGAAGACAATACATTTTCACATTATGGGACGAAGGAAGAGAATATTTTTTTAAAAGGCAAAAATAAAAAGGGAAAAAATCGTGACAACAAAATTCATACTATAGGTATAGGGTAGTGTTACAGGCGAGATATCGAGTTCATTGAATTGAAAAATCAGGAGAACAAAATTTTCCATCCACCCATGGAAAACGGAGTTCTCGCGGAATCCCAAAAAGAAAAAGAAAGAAAATAGACGGCGAGGAATTTCAGAAGATGTCGAGAATCTCGAGGATCGAACGGTTACAGAGGGGACAGGTCCCTCGATTGAGCCACAGCTCTCTGGAGCACACTCTGCAAAAGGTATGCCCACATGGGATAAATGCCGCTCCTTTCTTCCTTCCCATGCACACGCAGCACACCGTATCATTTCCCCCTTCTCCGTTTTCAGTCACCTTCCCCGTCACCTCCGCCTCACCTCCCTCACTCTCCTCTAGCAGCCTCATCAGCGACACCCTCCACGGCGTCCCAGGCGCCGCTCCCGCACTTCCACGCCGGAAATTGTTCCCCATGACTCCTTGCCTTCCTGTCTCCGCCGCTTCTTGCGACCCCCTAAATTGACGTTCCGCTGCCAACGCCGCCGCAAGATTCATACCCGAACCTGACGGGTTCGGGCTCAAACAATCCGGGTCTGCAGAGCTCGATCTTTGACCCGGATTCTGCTCTTGGAGCCTTTGCTGCTGCTGCCGCCGTTCGTCTTCGTCTTCTCCTCCTCCTTCGTCCCTTACGGTGGTCGGACGGAAACCCCAGGTGGCCCCACAGCACCCCATTCCGGTAAATCTTAGCCGTTCTTTCAAGCTCCGTCTCCTTCGGGGCTCTCCATCATTATTATCATCCCTGTTCACCGAATCCATGTGCTCCGTTAATAAACCCAGAATCGTTCTTTCCTCCCGCTCTCTCCGAAGCGATTCCTGCAATATCACCCCAAGCTGACTCATACCGGCGCCTGCTCAGAGGAGCTAGAAGATGCAGAAGCAGACAAACACAACAATAACAAGTCTGAGGAAGAGATAGGATTCAAGAAAAAGGCAATTTAAGAGCATAGAAAAGAACCCGTGAGGATTGTGAAGAACATTTAAAAGAGCACAGCGGTTCAGGAGGAGGGAGGAAAATGACAGAAACTCGAAGCGAGCAGAAAATGGGTCCAAAGAAGAAAGCTACATGAGGGAGTGAGGAGGTTTGATTAATGAAGAAGGCAAAGCTCCGTCGAAATCAAAATTGGAAGGAAGAAAATGAGGGAAAAGTGGAAGAAAGGACAAAAGAGAAGGGAGAGAGAAAGGAATGAAAAACAAAGGGCAGACGAAACGGGGTTTCTTTACAGAGTAATATTCTTCTTTATACTCTCTCCACTTTTGAGCAACGCAAGCACGAGCTTCTTGAATCTCTGGTCCTTCTTCGCGGTGCCAATATTTATGGTTTCTATTTACCTTTTTATTGAAAACACGTATCAAAATCTCCATGTATCAAAAGAAATACGGTAAATTGCTGATTCTTTCTTTTAAAAAAAGATTAAATCGAAATACAAAATAAAATAAAAATATCAAATATTCCAATTTCCCAGATATAATATAAAGTCTGGTTGTTGTTGGTACTGTTACTGTAAGCTAATAATAATGACAATAATCAGCAGACTAAAGAGGGTGTTTTAGTTGTGGGTTTGCTCAGCATACATGAGGCGATTGGTGGCCGGCCTGAAGCGAAGTCGAAAAGCCGCATGAGCCGGCGCATGGACCGAGTTATTCTGGCTTTGTGGCGCTTCGCAGCCTTCTACAAAATTGCATTCTAATCCACGATTATAATTTTAATATATAAATAATTCCCTTTTTAATTAAAATTAATTGGTATTTGCCTGAACTTGTTCATGCAGTGAATCATCCTATCATCCCCTTAGTCCTTTGAATCGTATCAGATGTTTGTCTTCCCATGTTTCTTCTTTTCATGCCCGTATCATGCTCCTCAAGGCCTATAAAATAATAATCAGATAAATCCTTATATTTATATTTAATTTGTCAATTATGTACGTCTATTTGTAATTATACATCTGTTGGCCAAAGAAAAAATTTGTAATTATATATCTGAACAAATTAAATTATTCGCCCTGTCTGCAATGCTATTCCCTGTTCGTACAATAATATAATCAAGACCAAGACTTAAATAAAAAAATTATGTTATTGTGTCAATTCCATATATATTCAATTATTAATGTCGGTTTCATACACATAATTATAAAGGCATTACTCATTGTTGACTAAGGCCCAATGTTTTAAAACCCGAATCGGACAGCGAACTGGAAATATTAATGGGTCACGGGTCTCATGGTTCAACCGGTCAGACCGGCGGTTGGACCGGTGATCTAATAATTAAATAAAAAATTATATATATATATATATAAAAGAAACAAGTTAACAAATACAACACTAGATTCTTGAATGCATTAGGATTTAAGCATAATCATTTGAAAAAAATAAAACTTCTATTTGCAATAAACAACTCTTAGACAATAAAAAATAGATTCATCTTCATCCATTTAACAATCCTTCATTTTGCAATAAACAGCTCAGATAATAAAAAGCAAGCTCACCTATTAGCATTCATTCTACTCCATTTAGAACCATAGAGATTACATTAAATTGGGTAGAGATATAAACGAGGGAGAAAGAAAATATCACCGGGACTGAGAGAGAGAGAGAGAGCAATCAACAAAGAAGATGAAGAATCATGAAAGGGGTTGAGCTCGACGCCATCTGACTGTTTTCAACAACCGGATGCCTATACTAAAATTAACCAAGAACACGAAGTCACAAACCAAAATGAAGAAAGTGAAGTGAAGATGAAGAATAAAGAAGCATTTGAAGTTTGAGAGAGTTTGAGATGGCTAAAGTTAAATGGTGAAGACAACGAAGGGTGAACATAGACCCAAATGGTTGAGAAGGCGAGTCCAAGATGGCTGAACGGTGAAGACAGAGCCCAGAAGGCTGAGTGGCTTGAGGGAGATGACACATAGAACAAAACCCAGATGGCTGAGATTTGAGAAGGTGACGAGAATGAGTGCGTGCATTGCGCGAGGCAGAGAGAAGTGAGACTAAAAAGAAGAAGAATGGGTCCTTATAGGTGTTGGTCTGCTAGATAGAGTGAGGAGAAGGGTTTTTTATTTTTGAAAATACCAATTTTGTCATTTTTTTGCGACCCGCTGTTGACCCATAAAACCCGCTCCGGGTTTTGAGTTTTTTTTGAGTCTTTAAAAACCGTCCGGTTCTAGGCGGGCCAACTGTTAATCCGGGTTAATTGGTTGAACCAGCCCGTTTTCTTCAGCGAGCGACGGTCCGACCGTCCGGGTCGGTCCGGGTCTTAAAACCTTGCTAAGGCCTCGAATGGGTTAAAATAAATCTGAGACATTGCTCATATTAAATTTATTCCAGTGACACGATCGTAATTACTAATGGACGGGATAATGTTTTTGTTTTTTAATTACTTTAATTAAACAGTACTTGATAAGTTTGTTAGCGGATTAAGATTGTCATAGTAGTGAACCAAAGGGGTCTACTCTAGAGATATAATGGGTTAAATAGATGCATTATTATTATTTTAAATTTTAAAATCCGTAGTTAATTAATTTATGATTCAAATAGGTAGTGCACACAAAAGGGAAACCTTATTTTATATATATATTCTGAAACAAAGGTTCACGTCCAATTATATAGTTAGGAATAGGAATGCACCTAATTAACCTAATTAACTTAGATCAGGTCTGAAAATGCTAGCCTCTTAGTTGTACCTACATATAAATATATAACTCTATCTCCTATATAAAATTTACAAAGCCTTGGACTTAAAGAGCAACCTGATTCTCTTCCTTCTTAATATATAAATATATAAAATTCTCTCCTTCACACACTTAGGATCATTTTCTTTCTTTACGTAGCATCATGCGTAAGAATCTTCCTTGATTAGTTGTATTTAGGGATGCAAACTGGCGTGACTGGCTTGATTTTCTTGATCAGGTCGATCGACTTGTTTTGGTTTAGAAAAAAATACAAGATTCTAGCAGTTCCTTAAATCTGATCTCCAACCACTAACATACATAACGTTAATTAATTAAAATAAGAAAGACATAGTTTTTAGTCCTTAAAAGTTAAAATCACCATCATCATCTTGAATCGAGATAATCCTTACAGTTTTTTTAATTATCAAGGGACCAATTATTATAGTTTTCAACTCCATTTTAGTCAAGATCCTTAATGATGATAATCCCCAGCCTAGTTGGCAGTTTTAAACAAAATTACGGATATCAATAAAACATATTAAATACATTTGATAATTTTATTTTTAAAAATATAAATATAAATATGCTAATTAGGGAAAGGCAATATTAAAAATATATATTTAATGAAACCTCATTCTTGCTAAATTATCTTATATTTTAAAAGACCGAATCACCTTTAAAATTATTTTATAAATTAGTACGAAAGGAGTAAGTTGCTAATGTAAGAATAATATTTGATTATAGTAGAGGTTTTGGTTAAAAGTTAATAACAACTCTAAAGATTGATTCCTCTACTCAATGAAAAAACTACAATGACCTTAACCTACTTTAAAAACCAAAAAAAAAAAATCATGTTTTACTAAAATAATTCGGGCGACCTTATTTAGTCTTTAAATTAAATTTATTTCATATAAGTCCATTTGTTCGTTTTTTTTTACTCTGGATATCAAAAAAGTCTTCCCAAATCACCATCACCAATTTCTTTCAAATAGAGATAAAAAGAAAAAACTCTTTTTTTCCTTCCGTGGAGAAACATTACTATCAAGAAAATTATTGTGAGATACATCAAAGATAGAAATAATCCTTTTATCAGACCAAAGGAGCGTGTGTGTGTTTGTGTAATAGGACAATTCGTTGCCATTATAATTTGCAATAAGAAATAAACTCAGCAATAGAAAAAAAAAATAGAAGGCAGACTTAAAGAGGAGGGGACAAAATGAAAGAGAGAAGGCAGATGGAGGGTGTAATTTGTTGAGGTGGGGCACACGCTACACAGTGTACACCATTGCTTTTATTTTCCTTGCCGGGTTCAACCTAAATCGAAGTAAAAGAAGCCATGTTAGGGTCATGATGATCAAAATCATCCTACCGTGATTAAAGCTATAATTGATTTTATTTTTTGTTTTGCAGCGGAATTAATAAATAGGATTGAATTAATTGAATAATTAATATTTGAATTAGTTTGTCCATTGTTAATTGGAGCAGCACGATGGTGAATTATTCGTTCCTCCGCCGTGCTGGCTTTTTGGATCAATCATTGGACTGAGCTGGCCAATGGAATCCAACCCATCCATAACGCGTGTCCTTTTATTTATTCATTTAAAAAACTCTAAAATCCGACGTGGTTGTGTGGTCCTCTTTCAAATTATATCCTGTAAAATAAATAAAAACTTGTTATGGTGTATATGCAATTTTTTTTTTAATATGAGGAACGACTCTGCTTAAGTTATATAATTTTTAAGGTTGTAAAGCCTACGAGGCTGCTCTCTATGGTGCTGTGGAGTAGAATTTGATTGTGTAATGATGATTTAGATTTTTTTTCCAATTTTAATAGAATTCTGTAATTATTTATTTTTTGAAAGACAAATATAGAAATTCACCACTTTCTATATACCAGTTCTACAGCCTATGTAAAAAACACTTTCCACATAAGTCGATTTTGATCAGATAATAGCAATTATCGAACCAAAATGAAAACCTTAATTAACAAGCATGCGATCAGAATTCACAATAAGGAATGACTAGTTCATCACATCCTATATTTGTTTTTGTTTTTTATTTGTAAAAATGAATTCACGAGGCAGACAGATAAAGCCTTGAATGTCTATATTTTTTTAGCATATACTAAAACAGTCTTAAAAAAAAAATTTGTAGAAGGTAATCTTGCTTCTTCCGTTTCACTCTCTCTGGGCCTGTTAATGAAGTATGAATGAAAGAAATTTGATTTGGTAGATAAAGGTCAAGTGGGCTTGTTGATCAGTGCTGAGGAAATAAATTTTGGGCTTCAAGTGACCAACTATGGTTTCATTCCACTTTATTGTTTATATGTTGACTAATTGTGACTAATTGTCTTTGAGTAGATCCTATTTGAGATGACTATGGATTGCATCCCTTGAACTCGGTTCAATGAAGTAATGGCGATGCTATGTATTAAGAGTAGAAGATATCCATATACGCATAAATTTTACTTTATTATTTTATTTCATTCAATCTTGAATGTATGAGCTAGTTGATATTTTGGTCCTAAAATATGTACAAGCGATTAGCTAGTTTCATATTGTAGCAATGCATGTGTAATCCATAGGCTTAAGCTCCACTGAATTGACCCATTATGCCCGATCACTT